CAGCCTGCGCCGGCTCTGTGCTGGAAACAGGAAAGAGAGAACACACCACCAACCTGGAAGACCTGAGAGTGTGTGCAGGGGTCTTAGGTCAATTGGAGACGTGTTCGCTGGACTAAAGGACCAGGTAACCTGCAGGGTGCAAGCTGTAAATGGCGCACTTTCAGAAAGCATGAGGTTTGTCTTGTGTGAGCCTCAGCGGGCCACAACTGAACTGACATAGCTTGCTCACCACGGACAGCCATTTTCCACAGTCAGGCAAACTCCAAATGACCACCCATTTTATTTGAACTGTATATGGTTCTCTTTTATCATAGGCTTCTTAAATAAAAATGTTTCTGTCTTTTTAAATGTTGTTTTCTTTCTTATTGAACAGATAAATGGCACTTACTGGGATAGTTCCATATAGGCATGCCTCACAAATTGATATTGCCCACCCACCCTTTGCTCTCCTGCCCCATCTCTAGTAATCTTTCTTCTGCTTTCAGGTGGACTAATTTATTTATTTGTTTGTTTGTTTCTGTTTGTTTGTTTTAGTTTCCATATATGACAGAAAATATGTGATACTCATTTTTCTGGGCCTAGCTTATTTTGTAAAGATTGGAACCAGTCCCATCAATTTTGTTGCAAATGATTTCAGGATTTTCAGGATTTCATTTTTCTTTGTGGCTGAAAAATGTTGCGTATATGGTGAAATATCATTTGTGTGTATGTATACACACATGTATACACACACATACACACATCACATTTCTTTATTCATGCATGTCTTGAATACCTGGGCTAATTCTGCATCTTAGCTAATGTGAAGAGTGCCACATTAAACATGGCATGCAAGTATCTCTTTTGTTTGCTGACTTTATTTTTCTTCAATATATACCTAGGAATTGTGATATTTGGGTTGCATAATAGATCTATTTTTAGTTTCTAAGGAAGCATCATAATACATATTTCTAATGTACTAATACATATTTCCACTAATGATATATAAGGGTTTCCTTTCCTGTATATTCTCACTACCTATTTGTATGTTTTGTTGACAATAGTCATCCTGAGTTGAGATGCCATCTCTCTGTAGTTTTGATTTGCATTTCCCTGATGGCTAATAATATTGATGATTTTAAAAATACATTTATTGGCCATTTGTGTTTCTTCATTTGAAAAACATCTATTCAGATCATTTGTCCATTTATATTTCTCTGTGTATGAGTGTGTGTGATAATGGAAGTTAAATTCAGGGCCTTTCCACTGAGCTACATCCCCAGGCTTTTAACAACATTTTTAAATTTTGACAGAGGGTCTGGTGAAGTTGCTAACTTGCACAGATTGGGCTCAAAGTTGTGATCCTCCTGCCTCAGTCTCCCAGAGTGCTAGATTCATAAATGTGAGATGTATTTCTTAAATAAAATTTTTAAAAAAAGAAGAAAAAGAGAATTCATTCATTATCCTATTCTCTAAAAACAACTGTGAATAGTTTGGTAAGGCTACTTCCATTTGCTTTTCTCTGGGCTCTTCCTCTACAGTGATGGTTATATTGAGTATGTAGTTTTGAATTTTAGATTGAGCATTGTTATGGTATCATAAGACATCTTTGTTAGATAGTTGCATATTTCATTGCAAGAATGCTAACATATTATCCTTCATTTACTGTTTAAATTATTTCCTTTTATTAATAGTATAAGATACTATAAAGAATAATTTTGTGCATAAAAACTTTTTATATTTTAGATTATTCCTTCAGAATGACATCCCCAAAATAAATCTATGAGGTGGTAAAGTATCTAGCACAGTACTTGCCACAGGACAGATGCAACTGCTACTCTTATTTTTCACTCGTAAATATTCACATGAGAATATTTACATATTAATAACTCATCTGGGGCTGGGGATTTAGCTCAGCGGCATAAGCGCCTGCCTTGCAAGCAGGCAGTCCTGAGTTCGATCCCTGGTACTGATAAAAAACGAAAAAGACAAAAAAAAACCCAACTCATCTGAGGCCTTTCCTCTAGAGTAGCTCTAGAATTTAATACAAGCTGTGTGATGCTGAATATTGTTTTAACCACATTTTAGCCTGAGACAAAAGGAGCACAAGTTCAAGCCTAGCCTGGGCAGCTCAGTGAGCTCCTGCCTCAAAATAAAAAATAAAAGGAACAAGGAATATAGTCCAGTGGTAAAACATCCTAGATTTGGTCCCAAGTACCAAAACAAAAGCACACACACACACACACACACACACACACACACAAAACCAAAACCAAATCCAAATCAAACACAAAAACAGCAACAACAAAAAAGGCAGAAGAAAAAGGTATAACTAATTTTTATAATAAACTTTATTTAAAATTTTTGTTCAAAATGTTTTAATTTTAACACAATCAATATAAAAATGATGAATGAAATATTTTTCATTTTTAATGTAAACCTTTGAAGCCTGGCATGTATTTTATAGTTACAATGCTTCTCAACTCCAAGCAGCTGTATTTCCAGTGATCAGAACCCACACTGTACAGAGCAGTGCAGGTCTACAGCAAAGGATGTGCCAGAGAGTTTTTGCTACTATTGACAGCTACATCTAGCTCCAAAGTTTTGCTACCTTTAAATGCTTTCCGAAGGCTCCTTACTCACTAGTCTTCTGGATTGACAGTGGACCAGGTCTCCAGATGTAACATGACTCATATCTGGGTATTTTTATAAATTGTTTTCATTCCTGCCTTAATGCTAGCAAATCACAGATATCCCCTCTATTCCAGTTTATTTCATGTTCATTTATTCAGAATTGTTTATTGGACATTTCCTACATATAAGCCCTATGTCTACACCAAGAGAACCAGGTTATCAAACAGACCTCAAGGCTGAGGATTTAGCTCAGTGGGCTAAGTGCCTGCCTTGCAAGTGTGTGGTCTTGAGTTTGACCCCCCAATACAAAAAAACAAACAAACAAAATGCAGTTTAATCAGAGAACCTGCCCATGTTCTTAAGGTCCAGGGCAGGAGACAGACTAATCAAATCATTACACAAATGTAATTGTGAACTGTGATAAATGCTAGGAGAGAAACACACATTGTAAAATGCCGGACCATGGGTCACCGCTTGAATGGCTTGTTCCTGGAGGTGTTTAATTGAGGTAGTCTAGTGGCTGGCCAGATCATGCTGAGAAACACTGATGCCTCAGAAGAGAGTTGGGTAAAGTGACCACAAGTTCCTTCTAGTCCCAAGTGTCCTTTGGCTCCTTTTGGAAAGTTTCCAAGGGAGACAGAAGCTTTCCAATTCCTGTTAGTGGCCCAGTTCATCTCTGTGCTTACCATCTCCCAAAAGATTTGAGCAGGGACAAGGAAACAGAGGACAACTCATTCATTCTTTACTCCTTCATCCGTTTACGTGTTCATGCGTTGATCCTGATTGAATACTCTGGTGTGGATATCAGGCACTGTTTGGACATTCAGAAAAACAAAGCCAGCAATCTTCTTGGCCAGGACAGACAACATTGCCAACTGGGCACACTTGCCTGAGAAGATAACAATTTAAAGAGGAAAAATCAATGCTAATAGAACTCCTTTTCAGGTTTGGAAAATGACATTGTCCAGAGTGACCGGTGCTTTGAGCCTGAGGCTGGGCAGAAAGCATGAGCCCTGGATGGTTGCAATCTTGTGAGCTCCTCAGATGTGGCCAAATCAATAACTGAGAGGCAGTGATGAAGGCAACTGGGTGGAGGGAGGCAGGGTTCAAGGGGCAAACTGTACCATTCCTCTTCTCCCCGCTACTGAAATGCGACCAGGACCCTCCCTCCAGCCCGAAATCCCTGGGGACAGGGTAATTTCAGCAGCACTTGATATAACCTATACATCACTGTCTTCTCTACCAGGGCTCAAATTAAACTCTGATGTATAAAGTTAAACAAAAATGAGATAAAAATTGGCAGAGGTTGAAGAGGGTCAAAGTAGTCAAAACACAAGGTGGACTATTGCTCCTTTTGATTTATGTTATTCTGTACACTTAGAAAAAATAAAATTATAAATCTCCCTGAGACTTTTTCATTGAGAATGGGGCATTACTAATTTATTTTCAATAGACTCCCAGGCTTCTCATCTGGGAGCAGTGGCATGGCTATTGTTTCTAGCAGGGATACCAGTCTGGCCTAGAACTTGGATGAGTATGAGGGGAAAGTATCCTACAAAATTTGAGTCTTTAGGCAGCACTGTGAAAGATGGTCCCACCCTCAATGGTTATGACACAGAGCACAGTGCCCACTCCACTTTATTTTATTATCTAGTCCTTGCAAACTCCTAAACACAAAATTCATCGTCTCCTCTGATAGTTGAGTAAACTGAGGCCTAAAGAAACCACATGATTTCAATAAATACTAGGGACACAAAAGTAAATAAAACAAAGGCCATCCCTTGGAGACCTCGTCTTCTGGTATGACAGAAAATAATCAACTCAGATGACTAAAATAAATATGATTATAGGTAGACCTCACTGCTGTGAGTAAGATGAAATGGGATACGAAACAGAAAAGAGGAGCACAGAAAGCTAAGGGAGGGATGCAGCAAGAGAGGAAAGAACATGGTGGTGCATATTTCTCTCTCTCTCTCTCTCTCTCTCAGCTCAGCATGGTACTGGAGTTGCAACCAATACCTTTGTACTGAGCTATATCCTCCAGTCTCTCCAGATTTTCTTATTTTGAGCCAGAGTCTCACTAAGTTATTAAGCTGCTTAGGCTAGTTTTAAGTTTAAAATTCTACCCCAAATTCTCAGAGTTCTGGGATCTCAGGTATGTGCCACCATGCCGGACTCAGACGCACATTTTTCAAAGATCATAAAAGCTGCTGTGTGATGAATTAATTGAAGGGGGCCAGGGCATGATGGAGAGATCAGTGAAGACACTGTGCCAATTGTTCAGATCAGTCAAGCCATGGTGGTGGTAGTGATGGGGGTGAAGAGCTGAGGTCTGTTTTGAAGAGAAAAATGATTCCTTGGTTTCTACTCTTGTGCTTTTTCCACAGCACAGGATCCCTTGCAACCACATCATGAGAGCAGTGCACCGGGATCCTGAGAAGCTGCTTTCCTAAGGGTAACAAGATGGAGTTACTTGGGGGGGGGGGTCTGAGAAAGCACCTGCAGGGAGCAGGAGTTTAGAGAGAAAGACACCTGTACTAGGGTGTGTGCATGGGCAAACTATTTCCTTAAGTTCGCTAGACTGGCTTTTGTCTGTGTCACTCTCTTAAGACCATGATCATCTTTTTCATTGCCCACCTTGGAGCACTAGAGCTGCATCAGGACAGATGGAACAAATGTCCAAGCCTCCTGACATGGTGGTGTCTCAGCGGGTACCTCACGTCAATTGCACAGCTCTACAGAATGGATTTCTGCACAGACATGACCTCTGTGGGCAAAGGCCAGGATGGGGTTTGTGTGGCTATAAAGATCAACCTTCCTTCCATTCTCAGGGAGAACACACATGCCGCCTGGCCCACCCCATCAGAGGGGTTGGATGAGTGCAGTGTGAAAAGGTTCCACGTCTAGCATAGTCCTGAGCCTTGAATTCTCCCAAGTCTGAGACCTGTTTTGGATTAGCCAGTGCCCAGTCCTCACCAATTTCTCACTGAGCATCATTTTAAAGTCTCTTCCTGTGCTGGATTTTAGAAGGGTAATGGGGACTAGAAGACCAAATAAGCTGATTCAACTCTATTATATGTACTGAGCCCCAATATTTTGTAAAAAGTAGTGAGCACTGGTAATGAATGGGAAGTTTTAATAAAAGAAAAGAAAAAGAGCCAATAAAGTTGTTCCATAAAACCGAAAAGGCCAAAGTTTGAAAGCATTTTTATTTTTATTTTTTTATAAATTTTGTTTCCAGCACTGGAGCTAGAACCCAGCTGTTGGGGCATGACTGGTAATGGCTGTAACACTCAGATATAACTCCAAACAAATTTGTAAGTCTTTAGTAAAATAATTTCATTTAAAAACTCAGAAAGATGTAATTCAGTGGATATATTTTATTTTCAAAATGGAAAGACTCTTAGAAAACCATCCCCCCAAAAGGGTATGGTTATATTTTGAAATAGCTGTATCATTTACTATGGAAGAAGGAGAGGGACTTTTGTGCCTCCTCTGTCAAAAATCAGCTGTTTATTTGGTTTGATTTTATAAGCACACTTCAAAGTGAGAAAATTTGTTGAATTTCATTTTATTTGCTTTGGTCTTTGTAATTTGGTATTGTTAAATCTTTTTTTCTCTATCCTACCCTTTGCCTCCAGAGAGAATTGCTGATGTACTAAACATGGACAATGGTGACTGCATCTCCTATTCTCACTTGAAATTTCTTGTGGCTTCTCAACTAAGTTTTATGTTAGATAGAAGTGAGGTATTCTATCTCTAGACCCTAGAAACGCTCCTGTCTGCTCTTTCTCCTGCTACTAGATGGATGTAGATGAGGCGGACCCAAGCCTCTCTCCATGAGTCTGTGCTATTCACAGACTGAGGTAGGGAGAGGACCAGGCCTCACCATAAGGTGATCCCTGCCTGTAAACCAGTGCCATGTGTGGCTGCTGACAGAGTGGGGACGGACAGACCCAAGCCTCTCTCTGTGAGTCAGCACCATTTGTGGACTGTGAGGGGAGAAAACCAGGCCTCACCATGAGTTGAGCCCCACGTGGAAACCGTATCATTTTCACTGTTTTGTTGGGTTGGGTTTTATTCTCTTTTGTTTTGTTTGATTATGTTAAATCTGATGGCAGGAGTAGCCATTTAAAAGATAGCAAGACATATGGTAGCCATTTTGGATTTACTATTGGCTTGCTTAGAATCCTTTATTGCATTCATTATTTTGTTTTTATTGTTTCTATTCTATTTTGTTCTGTTCAGTTTTTACTGTGTCTGAAGGTATCTGCAGCTGTTTTGAAGACAACAAAAGGAAATATGTTAACTATTGTTGATTTTGTAAGGTTTTGAAATTCTGTATCACCCATACTAGTTTACTTTGATTGGTTTTATTCTGTTTTATTTTCCTTGGTTTTATCCTATTTAAAATAGAAAGAAGTAGAGCCACGTAACAAAGGGATTCTAACTCCCTGAATAGCCATACATGCTGAGCAGTCACTATAATGTGAGCAAGAGCTCAACATCTGCATTGAACCTTTGAGTGCGGGACCTACTTATTACAGCATCTTAGTTTCATCTCATAGAATTTCTATTCACCTTGCGGTGTCAAATTTCAATGACACGATTCTGACATAACAGAAGGAGACTTAGATGGAGAGATGGATTGTAGAGCTTAGGATTTCAGGCCTGAAGTCAAAGACTGTCAGCCTTTCTGCTTGGGAGTTTCCCATCGAAGCCTTTTTCTGAAAAAAAATTTAGAAGAGTCAAATTGGAGGTACATATTCTAGGAATGGATGCCTCATAGTTAAAGGTTCATAAATAGGACTTGAAACAAGTAAAGTCGAGACCAACTATGTCAATACTCTGTAGAAAAAGGGGGGCGTGCTCCTTAAAACCTAACAGCTTTGACAGCACAGGGATGAGGTGATGAAGAGACCCATAATGCTCCATCTTCCTCTGACGCTTAATATGCCTCTGAACTTCACAGGAGGGGATCCCTGAGCTGGGTACATGGAGAATTCATGGTGACCTGCCTCTTCTCTTCCAGCACCCCTTCTTATGGTGAGAGCCCCAACTTGATATCTCTGCTTTATGTTATCTCAAAATTAAATGTTTGATTAAAACAGCCAGTTTTCTAGCTTCTCCAGGGACCTGGGAAAAGGTCAGAAATTTGAGCACGTTTCTGAGCTGAGCATCAGGATCGAGGCTTCTGGTTGTCAAGGACATTTCAGATGTGGTCTTTAGAGTCACAGCTCCCAGCTAGGCGCTGGCAAGTTCCCTGTGTGTTCCAGGGAGTGACAGGACCTCAGAGGTGTTCAGAGTCATCACCTTCTTGTTGGAAAAGACAAACATTTATGCTTCTGGTTCTTTTGGTGCTAGACATTATATTCCTTTCTCCCCCATTATACATGTATTCTAAGTGCACCCTAATTAATGGTGCTGCTCTTTTCCTCACCTCCAGATAGGAAAGATGGGACCCACATCTGACAGCGTGGCTCCTCGTTCCAGCCCCTGATTTCTCCTAGGAGTGTGACCTCCACCTTCTTTTAATCCTGTCTTCTTCCCCGATTCTTTCACAACTATTTTTGTTAAATTACTATTCACTGTTCATTGTGTAAATATTGTTCACTATGGAGTCAAGTAGTGTACTAACGTTGTTTCAACCGTTTCTATTCTCATTTTGTTTTTCCTAAAGACAATAGTCTTTACATTTGCTTGGCTTTCTTTGTACATTTGATTAAGTTTTACACCTTTTACAGTTTTTCAATTGAATTTTCCACCTGGCTGAACATATCAGATAACCCATTGGTAAGAGTTGCTGCTGACTCTTGGGGATGCCCTTTCACCAACCCTCTGATGTTTCTCTCTGTTTCTTACGACTTGGACATGTACCCCTGTCTTCTGGGAGCATGGCTTCATCATCAACCTGACTTCCTCTATCCTTTTCAGGCACAGAATCCTCTGCTTTCTTGAGCTTTTGTCTTTTCTTTCTTGGTATAGTCCCTTCTCTGTTGTTATGCAACGCCCCATAACTGTCCCCCCCAAACTCCCCCCATCATATTGCCTGTAACTGTCTCATAATGTACCAATCATGTCTGGATTAGGCTGGCAAGACAAAGAAATTTCTGCCACTTCTGAATAGTCATATCCCACACAAACACCAGCAGCAATAACAATCACAAACAAACAAAACAAGACAAAGCCTAAACAGAAAATAAGAATTTCATTTTTTATAAAACAAGTAGGTATCCATAACTCCTTGCAAAGGGTATAAAACACAGGAAAGTGAATTTGGGGACCACATTCTGCTACATTTTGCAGCAGAGCAACCCACTGGCCAGGCGGAACCCAAAGTAGCTCAGAAATCCAAGACACCACTGAGAGTGGCAGGGATGGGGGAGGCAGGCATAGCCAGGCACCGGTCATAAGTATCCATAAGGATAGCAACCCTGGCCCCACCACCACCACCACTAACCACCCCGAGTCTCTAAGCCCTTCTCTTGTTCTTTGGAAAATGGGAAGATCTGAGTTGTGGAGAAGGAAAACTCAAATTAGGAGATTGCTGGGAAAGTCCAAAGCTAAACAGGCCCCCTAGCTCCTACCTTGATCTGGTTCACTAAGTAGAAGGAGGGCAGGTGATCATATTTTCCTTGTTAGATGTATATGTGAATTTTATTTTATTTTTTATTATTTTATCGGGAACCGGGGATCGAACTCACAACCACGTGCTTGTGAGGCAGGCGCTTATACCACTGAGCTAAATCCCCAGCCCCGTGAATTTTAACATGTATAGATTTGTGTAACTTCAACCACAGTCAAGATACAGAACTATTTCATCACTCCCTCCCCCAACAATCCTCTCATATTGCCTCTCTCTATATAGAGCCTTCCTCTAACTATAAACGTAGGCGATACCATCCTGTTCTGCATCATTATCATGTGGTCTCTTTGTGTAAGTGGTATTATACTGTTTTAGGAGTCATTTGGAGATTGGCTTCTTCCACTTGGCATAGTGCCTTTGGGATCTGTCTGAATCCTTTCAACATACTGATAATTTGTTTTTATTTCTGATTGTTGTTTCATTGAATGGATATAACCACAACAGTGGTTCCCAACGTTTTTGGTACCAGGGATTTGTTTCATAGAAGACAATTTTTCCATGGAAAGATGTTTTCAGGGTGATTCAACCCCATTACATTTATTGCACATATTTAAATTTACAGGGAACGATCACATCCATTTTTAGAGTGAGTGTACTTTGTTTAATTCCATCTGTATTGTATGACAGTCCTGATGTTAGACACCCTTGCCAATACTTGACGTTGGCAATATTTAAAAAAATTAGTCATGTTAATAGCCATAGAGTGATTTTAAGTTGCATTCTCTTAGTGCATATATGAAGAATATTTTTTCCTGTGCATTTGTGAGCCTGTGAGCCTGTTGATTCCTTTATATGTTGTTTGAAATTTGGTTGTTCTCTTACTGTTCATTTTTGAGCATTCATTATATTTTAAGGAGGTAAATCCTTAGTTGAATAGGTGATTTGGAAATGTTCTTTCCCAATCAATAGCTTGTACTTCCACTAGATTAACTGTCTTTTATAAAGAACAGAGCAAAAGTTTTCATTATAGTGGATACTGTCCTTTTTATATTAGTACATGTTTTTCATATGTTCTGAATACAATCATTGTGGGGAGCTGGTACTTATACATGACACATCATGTTTAAACTTATTTCCATCCCCATTTATAGGTATTTATTTACTACCTGTAGTATGTAAGTTTCTCTGATAAAGGTACTGCTATTTCCTCGGGCAGAGTGTGCAAAGGTTAGCTCAGGCTGTAACAGAGGCTTGGGACTTCCTCAGCTTTTATACTCCCAAGTCTCCTTAATTCCAGGTGGAGGTGCCCCTCCACACTGGGCACTTCTGTCTGCCCTCGTAGAAGTTGCTTCTTCCCCTCAGCACTGGCCTCCATCCTCCTAAGAACCTTATCTGCCCTTCAAAATGCCCCTTGCATAATCCATCAGGCCTGACCCAGAGCTCCTGTCTGTCTATGGCTCTTTGATCATATTCTACTTTTTTCCCCCTACCTGGTAGAGTAATGAGGAATAAATAATATAAAGCATATAAAAATGCCCAACATAGAACAGAATATAAAATAAGTTTTTAATGTGAATTGCTGCAAGGCCAGACAAGTCCCCAAATCCTGAGGGCCCATCAATTTAAGGTGCCTTCTTAAGCCTGCATTAGAAGCCGATGCCTAACAAAGAGTTCCAAAGGATGCTTTTGAAGGAAAGCAAACTGGTTCGTGTGTAGCCATACTGCAGTGTCACCATGGTAGTTTTACAGAGGTCTTCTGAAAACAGCCTTTCTAGCCAAAGACAGCCACTGAGGGTGGCATTCAGGTACCCCAAAAGGCAGGCAGGAGGAAAGAGTTCTGCGCGGGACACCTTTTGCTATTCTAGTGTCCTGCCAGGATGTGGTTGGTCAGACTCACTCACTAGCCCACCAGAATGCCCTCGGCTTCCTTTCATAGCAGGAGGACAAGCAGAAAGCAAACTTTGTCCTGGAGCCCTGCTTAACAGGCCCTGTTCCCAAATGTCATCTTCTAATAGGCAACAGCTGCCCCTGCGGTTTCTTCTAGGCAAGTGATTCATGTCTTTGCTCAGAAACGATAAGCAGAACAAATGTTTACTTAGACATATAACAGAGGGACAATTGGAAAACAGGAGACTGGCAACTGGAAATATTTTACTGCTATTTGATCCATGATAATTAGTGGGAATTAGTCATATGGGCCAGAGGCAGAGTGGGGGATAGGCAGATGGCCTTCCTGGAAAAGGAACAGAAGGGAGCACAGAGCAGGGGACCCAAAACTTTGCTCAGAGCACTTCATAGTGACCTTCATCCCCTTAAAGGTGGCATCTCGTGGTCGCCTGTCTTAGTTGACACCTGATTCAGTTACACAGCTCAGAAATGAGTAGAGAAGAGAAAACTTCACATTATTTTTCTGGGGCCTTTAAAATCTATTAGTAATTTTTTACACATTCCAAAATTAAGGGAAACATTTAATAGTTTGGCTTATGTATATGCACATGAGAGAAAAACTAAAAAGAAAAAATCCTAACACCCACAGTAGTGAATTTTAGTCTTTGGAATGATGGTTCACAGATTGACTCATCCAAACAGAAACACATACCTTGAATGTGGACCCTAAAAATGGGACTGTTGAGTAGGATTTGCATACAGTCTAATTACATTTACATAATTTAAGATCTTGCATCTTTTTATGCATATACAGTATGTACTCCCACAAGCATCCTCAAATAGATTATTTAGTAGATGCATCATAAATATTCCTATAAGGGAAACATAAAATTTATAATTTGATTTTTGGCTCCAAAGAAGGAAATACTACATTTTTTCTGAGGGGAAAAAACCTCCACATCTCAGTGCATTGTGTGACAAATCTCTTACACCATCCTTCGAAGTGTCAGGAGGAAAAATAGAGGATGAAGCTGCAAATGCAACTCCCCCTTCATCTCAGTTGAGAGTCTCTAAGGTTAAATGACTCAGGAGACATTAATAAACCCAAGAGGAAGGTGAACACCTTGGAGAAACCAAGGAACAGCCAAGCAGGTCTTGGAGTTGTTTAACAGCAACGGGGAGTTGAGATTCATTTTAAACCCAGAGGATGAAAAACTCAATTCCCTCTTCAAGTTCAAGTGGGGTGATGTTTTTCCCTTTCCTTGTCCATAAACACTTTTCTTCTGGTCACACTTCCCTTTGGGATTGAAGCAGAGAGAACATGGGACCGGGACCCTGGGGGAAGTGGCCTTTCTTATAGAAGTGGATACCTAGTAGGTTTTTTTCCCCCTTGAACTGGTAACTGAACCTCGACTGAATCTTTGCAACAAGATGTATTCCCCTGTTTTATTTTGTTATTTTTGAGATAAGATTATGCTAAATCACTAAGTTGCCTAGGCTGGGCTCAAACTTAGGATTCTCCTGCCTCTGTCTCCCAGAGAGCTGGGATTACAGATGTGTGGCATCACACTTG